AGAGAGAGAGAGAGATAGTATGTATTTGTAGACAAGCACACACTCGTATATATATATATATATATATATATATATATATATATATAAACGATCGCTAAAAGCGTGAAACCCAGTGTCACAAACTCACATCTATCCAACCATATATATATATATATATATATATATATATATATATATAATCTTGTAAATATAAGTAATTACACTCGTCTGGAAAACACTTAGGTGTTTTGGCTTGTACAAGAACAAACCAATACACAAGAAAAAAAATAAGGAATACAAAAAGAAATATCTAAGAACATGTCTTTCAGGCAAAAACAATTATCCAAGAAAAAAAACCTCCAACACGAGTAAAGCAAAAATAACTACGCAAAGTGGTCAATACACTAAACAGAGCAAATCTTTGAACCTAAAGAGCCAGCAAACCTACCTAGGTTTCACCAACGCGGATCGTCAGGGTAGGATCGTTGCGGATCGTAGGTTCATAGTTATATATATATATATATATACATACCACATAACACCCTTGAGCGCTTAGCTTTGGAGCGTGTAGAATGGCGATCAACGTGTTTTAGTGGACTCAGCAGTATTCAATCTGCTTGTCTGAATCTTCTTCAAGAAGCTAGAGCAAGATCTAAAAGGTTAGCCAATCTAACAGTGATCTCATCTCACAACCCTCACTCTTGCTCCAATTGTGGGTTCCTTTGTAAATCACTGGCGGGTCTTAAGTGCCACTTAAGATTAATCGCACAAACTTTCATAACTGAATCAATAAAGCTGTCAGATCCTGATACGTCGAAACCGACGCGAGAGTCCATTATTATTATCATTATTATTATATATATATATATATATATATATATATATATATATATATATATATATGTGTGTGTGTGCGTGTGTGTGTGTGTGTGCATGTGTTTACAGCTAGCTGCTATATATATATGGTCTCTGTGCTTGTTGAACAAACACAAATGTTCCTGAGCAAGCGGATATCCTCGAATACGAGTGGCCATCTATATGTAGATGCCCACTCGTATCCGAGGATATCCGTCTAACAGGGCGTCTAGACAAACCCTATTGCAGACGCTTTGCTCAACACCCACAGAGCCTATTGCAACTATGGTGACCAGACATTAGTTACAGTTTCTGGGAGGGACTGCGTTATCTATCAACAATTTGAACAAGTCCGGCACTCTCTAGGCCACGATGACAGATGGCACAGCTATCGATGGTCCACAGCATTTTCATGGCTTTCAGTCATTTTTATCCAGTTCGATAACATCAGGAAGTCACCTCACTGACAAATTGACCATGGTCAGATTTGAATATATATATATATATATATATATATATATATTTATATATATTAAAAAGAAGAGAAGAGACGTGCCGCAAACGTTTTTGGTTGTAATGTGTTTTTTTTAGAAAAAAATATTATGTTTTATTTTCCATAAATTTAGTACACGAGTTTCTGGTCTCGTGACCGTCTTCAAGTAAAAGTGGAGATTTCCACATATTATTGAAAATAATTAATTTTTCCCTTATGTTTTTCAATGTTAAATATTCTCGATATGAAACATTCTCTGTTTTTGTGTTAGTAATCCGAATGTCTTTTTTGAATTGGCAATGAAGAGTCAGGCGCAGACCTCTCTCTCTCTCTCTCTCTCTCTCTCTCTCTCTTTCTACATATATATATATATATATATATATATATATATATATATATATATATATTAGAACCCATTTAAACACACATACAGATTTACCCGATTCCCTTAGGAACATACTAGTAGGAAACACAAATATATTAACTGCATCCACCTGCAAAAAAAAAGACTAAAAATAATGGAAACTTTAATAATAAAAAAGAAAAAGCCAACTCTTAACAATATTAACTACGAACAAAGCCACAATGTGCTAACCGTATTCGGAAATTAAAAACATCCCTACCACACACTAAGACATACACATAACGCACACACTCAATTAAGCTGGAAAATCGAATAATCCTTGATAATGGCTAAATGTATAGCCGAAAGCGCTGGGAAATATAAAACATTTGGACAGTTCTTACACAGCCTTTGTCCAGAAAAGAAAACTCTTTTCGAACACAAGAAAAATTAAATAAAAATCTTAATCGTAGTACCTTGTCTGTCTTTTTTGAATGAAATGCATATATATATATATATATATATATATATATATATATATATATATATATATATATATAATCCTAAGATGTGCTATGTTCATGTAATAAAGTGCTCAATATCTGAGATAGAGCGTGTGTAAATATAAAAGTGAACACAGAAGCCAACACTTAGTGGCAACAGCCTGTTTCATGCTAGATGCAATAAAAAATAAAATAAAATAAAAATAAAAAATAAAAATAAGCAAATACTTTAACCAAAATAAATAAATAAACGACTTCTGGTAAAATAGCCGCCAAAATAGACTACCCACAATGCACCACTGACCCGTATATATGAATAGCAGAGAAAAATAACAGCATTCGTGGCCTGACTATTGTATCTAGCATGAAACAGACTGTCGTCTCTAAGTGATGACTTGTATGTTCCCTTTTATATATATATATATATATATATATATATATATTCTGAAAACGCATATATATATACATACGTATATAGCTATACACATGTTGAAAATGCATATATATATATATATATATATATGCGTTTTCAAACTTACCTTTTGATATATATCTAATTCCTTTTTCCTTTTACATCTATAAAAATTCAAACTTGAAACACATCCATACACACACACACACACACACACACACATATATATATATATATATATATATATATATATATATATATAACAACATACAGATAACCGTGCACGAGGCATGATGGCGAAAGATACATAAATAAGATATATAATATAATCAAGTGAGTCTTCGTGTTCGATAAAAAAAAAATCCAGTATGGCGTCGAAAAATTTTAATTTGCATGGACGACAACATCAACCACGAACAAAGCTTCTTACCAGACATTAGGCTGCAGCCGACTGAATTCAATGTCCCCTACTTCTTCAAATAGCTATCACGCAACGAACAAGAAATTTTGATAATATAAGCAATAATAATTAGAATAGAAACGCATATAATAAAGGGAAAATTAATAAAGATGCAATATGTGTTTGCGAATAAAACACAAATGTCAGGTGATAAAACAGTCGCATAATCTGAGTGTTGTCCATATTCTTTCATTCCGTCATACTTAATTTCAAAAGCACGCAACCCTTATCAAAATGAAAACAAAATTCTCATTCTTCTATATGTTGTACCATTCATACCCTGGCCCTGCATAACCTCTTATTCTTTACTGCCCCTTTGCAAAGCCTCCCGCTCCTGTTCGACCATCCATAAACAAAAAGTACTCCAGGTAGTGTAACCGGCGCTTTCTCTTATAATGTCTTGTTAGACATTTTCATGACGGTCGTCCTCGAGCATAGAATCCAGAGGTTGGCAGTGAATATTTCGGAGATAGTAGGAAAGCGTAGTTTAGGTTCGTAGTGGATATCACAGCAGAGTGTAGTTCTTCCGTCTGTCATGTTCGCCTCACAAGTTTGCGCTGGTCATTCCGGTAGGGTAAACAAAGATGGCCACCTTTATACACGACGGATACAGTGTTCTGCGGCTCCTGATTGGTTAATCTTCTATTGGTAGAATATAAAGGGAGTTAAGTCATTTTGACTCGCTCACTAGTTATATACGTTATATACCCAAAAAAATGTAACATGTCTCCCTTTGATATGTCCCGTGAGTACCAAATTCCCCACCCTTCCTCCTCAGTTCAGTTATGTGCCATGCGTGATACACGTTTAGGTGATTATGTATCTTTCGATACATGACTAACGAGGCAGATTTTTTTTCCCGCAATAGGTTGCTATTTCTTTCTACGGTAGACCAGTTGCAATCCAAGGCTATAGAACCCTGTCTGTCCTGCTATTTACTCATAGTTGGTTATGTTCCATGCAATATACACACTTAGGCGATCATGTATCTTTCAATACATGACTGATGAGGGAGATTATTTCTTGCAGTAGGTTGCCATTTCTTTTTTGGCGATAGACCAGCTGCCATTCACGGCTATAGAACCCTGTCTCTCCTGCTATTTACCAATAGCTGGGGGTGGGAGAAGAAGAGGATTCATACTTTTACCAAAGGGTATTAGAACGTAAGAACTGGAATTCGAATTCGGCTCTCCGATTCCTCAATCCGAGCCGCTTTCCATTACTCCAAAGTTATTGCTCTCTGATTGTGTGTATGAGTATCCTTTTTTTAATATTTGCACTATTTACATTGTTCGGAATAATGTCCTCAACTTAATTGTCACATTACCAACGTATCGGCCGTTGGACGTCCCGGCCTTTTTCAGCTGATTTTTTTTTTTTGAATTTCGAACCGAGCCCAGAATAGTCAATCTGTATGTTGGCGTTTCTGAAGATTGGCTTTGATGAGTTTCTTCTGGAGGTTTTTTTCACACGTTTATTTTTACAATCTGAAAATATTTTCTTCAAACAATTGTTAAGCCGTAAAAAACGAACCAATCAAATGAAAAATCAGTTTTTTATGAGCCTTAGAGCTATGTTCGCCTTGGTTGGAGGGAATGATGAAAAATTATATGTAAATATAAAAAAAAAACATGGGTTACAATTCTATATATGAAATATGAATTTCTAGTAACCGTTATATCTACAACCTGTCTGAAGTTATTATGCGAATCAAATAAACCTCAATAACAATAGATAAATGTGTTAACATTGACCATTCATATACCTCGGTCGCTCTATAAAAGATGAAGAAGATTGCTGTTTAAAACGGCCGAAAACGTCGTGAATATGTTAATAAAGATGAGGACAACAGTCCGAAAAATGTAAGTCGTGTAAATAGTTACAATATCTCATTTCAGGAATGTAGACAGATCCTGAAGAAAGTCGTGGCGTACAACGGCTGAAACGTCATTAATATGGCAGTAAAGGCAGTAAAGACCTCTGAGTCTTCCCACCTCTTTCTCTTTCCACCTCTCCCTCTTCCAACCTCTTTCTCTCTTTCCACCTCTCTCTCTTCCCACCTCTCTCTCTTTCCACCTCTCCCTCTTCCCACCTCTTTCTCTTTCCACCTCTCCCTCTTCCCACCTCTCTCTCTTTCCACCTCTCTCTCTTCCCACCTCTTTCTCTTTCCACCTCTCCCTCTTCCCACCTCTTTCTCTTTCCACTTCTTCCTCTTCCCACCTCTCTCTCTTTCCACCTCTCACACTTCCCACCTCTTTCTCTTTCCACCTCTCCCTCTTCCCACCTCTCTCTCTTTCCACCTCTCACACTTCCCACCTCTTTCTCTTTCCACCTCTCCCTCTTCCCACCTCTCTCTCTTTCCACCTCTCACACTTCCCACCTCTTTCTCTTTCCACTTCTCCCTCTTCCCACCTCTTTCTCTTTCCACCTCTCCCTCTTCCCACCTCTTTCTCTTTCCACCTCTCCCTCTTCCCACCTCTCTCTCTTTCCACCTCTCTCTCTTCCCTCTTTCTCTTTCCACCTCTCCCTCTTCCCACCTCTCTTTTCCACCTCTCTCTTCCCACCTCTTTCTCTTTCCACCTCTCCCTCTTCCCACCTCTTTCTCTTTCCACTTCTCCTCTTCCCCACCTCTCTCTCTTTCCACCTCTCACACTTCCCACCTCTTTCTCTTTCCACCTCTTCCCCCTTCCACCTCTTTCTCTTTCCACCTCTCCCTCTTCCCACCACTTTCTCTTTCCACCTCTCCCTCTTCCCACCTCTCTCTCTTTCCACCTCTCACACTTCCCACCTCTTTCTCTTTCCACTTCTCCCTCTTCCCACCTCTTTCTCTTTCCACCTCTCCCTCTTCCCACCTCTGCCTCTTTGCACCTCTCCCTCTTCCCACCTTTCTCTCTTTCCACCTCTCCCTCTTCCCACCTCTTTCTCTTTCCACCTCTCCCTCTCCCTCTTCCCACCTCTTTCTCTTTCCACCTCTCTCTCTTCCCACCCCTCTCTCTTTCCAACTCTCCCTCTTCCCACCTCTGCCTCTTTGCACCTCTCCTTTCCACTTCTCTCTCTTTCAACCTCCCCCTTTTCCCATCTCTCTTTGATTGCGTGAATGCTTATTTATATTTCAGCTTTCTTTTAAAAAATAATATTTTAAATTTTTAAAAAATATTTTTTGGCATATTTAAAAATTATTTTTAAGTTAGTCTGATTTTAAAATATTTTAAAGGAATAAAATTTGAAAATGTGAGTTGTTTATACAGAAAATAAATATTCTTATTTCAACTTTCTTCAAACACACATTTTTTTTTAATGTTGAAATCAACTTCAATGTTTGATAAACTCTTGCGTCAGTGACCCAACGGGTCACGGATCGTCTAGTATTATATTTTATTTTCTGGCTTTAAATAACCTTCAAAGGGTTGATAAGCCGTATAAAATGAATTAATTTATCATTTCGGTCGTCTCTTAAAACTCTTGTCGGATATTTAAACATCTGTACTTGTTTGATTCTGACATTATAAGTTCTTTGTTCGCTTCTTCGACTGTTTATCCTCTTAATAATCATCTATTCTCTATAATGGATAATGGCTCGGAATTGATGGTCGGAGAGACGATTTCCAGGTTTAGTTGATTTTGTTGTATTCACTTGGCCTCAGGTATTGTTGGAAAGGATAGAAATCCGCATCTCTCCCCAACCCTCAGTTATGGATCGATTGGTGGGACTTTTATCACTGAATCATTATTAGCTCCAAAAAGAGAGAGAAAGAGATAGAGAGAGAGAGAGAGAGGGATGGAGAAAAGAAAGGAATCTTACAATCTGAAAATATTTTCTGCAAACAGCCGTATAAAACGAATCAATCAAATGAAAAATCAGTTTTTATTTCCCTATCAGTAACCCCATGAGCCTTAGAGGTATGGTCGCCTTGGTGGGAGGGAATAATGAAAAATTTATATATAAATATAAAAAAAAAACATGCGATATAATTCTATATATGAAATATGAATTTCTAGTAAGCGTTATAACTACAACCTGTCTGAAGTTATTTTGTGAATCAAATAAACCTCAATAACAATAGGTAGGTAGCTAGCTAGCTATCTAGCTAGCTAGCTAGATAGATATGAACAGGCTGACATAGATAGATAGATAGATAGATAGATAGATAGATGGGAACATGGTGTCGAGCAGTTTGTCTGAATTTATTATGTAAATCAAATAACCTTCAATAACTGAAATAAAGTGCTAAACCAATGTTAATCACATTTAAAATCCTGTTTCACCCTTTCTAAAATATTTAACTAAATTTTCTGCCATTTTTTAATGGTTAGTTTTTGAGATATCTGGAATTAACGAAAATAGACTGACTGAAGTCAGTATGCAAATGAATTTAACATTAGTATAAGACCTTTGAAAATAATAAAAACTTTTTTTTTATCCATAATATATGTTGGAAGGATCTACCAAAGTTATTGAGTGAGGGAATGTCCACAATGGAGACATCAAAGGAGCTTTGCAGAGATCATCGAACAATAAAGATGGCTTTTGAACATATAAGTTGAGACATCGAAGCAAAGTAAAAGGTTTTAAGAACTTGCTTCCTCGAGATGAACTTTAACTAAATCTTGTTATAGCGAAACAGCCAAGTTTAACCAGAACTCAGATCTTTGAAAAGGCTGGAATTGAGGGAGTCATGATGAACAAAAGCTGTACAAGACTTTGGGAAGTGGGATCTGTAAATAAAAAAAAATTTTAAAAAATCTCGTAAGAAACGTCCTCTGATTAAAGCAAATAATTTTAAGCGTCAAAATTCGTCTTAGAAATACATGAAAATTGAATTTTAAAAGTAATTTTCACGAACGAATCTCTAGTGACATGTGATACACTTGATAGATGAAGCAAATGATGAATTCTATCTAATTCAGACAGGTCTGTGGCTAAAAGAAGGGAAGATTGGGGTGGTAGTGATATGATATGGTCTGGAATTGTCAGCCAAACCATTATAGGGCGATTGAAAATCGTGAAGAGTTAAAATGAACAGTGAGAACTGTTGTGAATTTATGAACATGGCTTTCTTTGCATGGTACAAATCCCTGACTCGCAGTTTCAAACTGAAGTGTGTATTTATGCACGACAAAGCCCCTATTTATGTATCAAAGCTTATTCGCGAATTCTTTGAGCATAAAAGACTTACAAGGAAGATAAACAGAATGAATCCGATCGAAAATATATGGTTAGTTGTGAAGATGGACTTATACGAAGATGGCAAACAATAGAAAGCAATTAAAACTACGATGTCGGAAATTGAACATAATGAAGTAAAAAAAAAAGAAAAGAAAATCAATAGACAATAGATTACTGGCCGTTATTAAGGAGAAGATGCACTAAATCAAAATGTAAAGGATTCAAAACTTATTATAAAGGCTGTTCCAATAACTTTAACCTATTTTAAATGTGAATCAATTTTAAGCGTCTAATGATTTTTTCTTTGCCTTTTAGATTTAACAACTTAAGTTTTTGGCAATTTCAACCGTGGAAAGATTAACAATCAAACAACGTGTTAAATTTGTCGAATCCTAATACGAAAATGGACGTTCAAATTTATGAATATACGGTCCAATAATTCCGCTAGCACAAAATGCACGCTAAACAGTGAACTTTTGTGGATTCAGTGGTTTTTCAATAATCAAGACTTACAAAAGAGAAGATAACGGAATAGCCACCATAAGGTCCCGGTCTGAATCCGATCGAAAATATATGGTCAGTTGTGAAGATGAACTTATATGAAGATGGCAAACAATATAACAGCAAAACAGACTAATAGAAAGCAATTAAAACTACGATGTCGGAAATTGAACATGCTGAAGTAAAATAAAAAAAAATAAGAATATCAATTGATAATAGATTCAGTCAGTTATGTGCCATGCGTGATACACGCTTAGGCGATCATGTATCTTTCGATATATGACAAACGAGGCAGAGTTTTGCCATTTCTTTCTGCGGTATACCAGTTGCCAACAAAGGCAACCCGGTCTGTTTTGCTATTTACCTATATCTGGTGGGAGGGGAGAAGAGAATTTATACCTTTCCCAAGGGTATTAGCACGTAAGTGAATGTAATGGATTCGACTAGAAAGTCAGTCAGTCAGTTATGTGCCGTGCATAATACACGCTTAGGCGATCATGTATCTTTCGATACATGACTGACGAGGCAGATTTTTTCCCACAGTAGGTTCCCATTTCTTTCTGTTGCCATCCTAGGCTATAGAATGGTCTGGTCTGTTATATACCCATAGCTGACGGAGGGGAGAAGAAGAGGATTCATACCTTTCCCAAGGGTATTAGCACGTAAGCGAATGTAATGGATTCGACTGGAAAGTCGTTCAGTCAGTTATGTGCCGTGTGTGATACACGCTTAGGCAATCATGTATCTTTCAATACATGACTGACGAAGCATTTTTTTTCCCACAGTAGGTTGCTATTTCTTTCTGCGATAGACCAGTTGCTATCCAAGGCTATAGAAACCGGTCTGAAGAAAAGGATTCATACTTTTTCCAAGGCTATTAGCACGTAAGTCAATGTAATGGATTTGTCTGAAATTCGAACTCTGCTCTCCATTTTCTCAATACGAGCCCCTATCTATTACTCCACTGTGCTTTTATTGAGAAGAGACACTATATTAAAATCTAAAGGAATCGTCGACTTATTACAGTGTAACACGGATATAAGAGAAACTCGGATATAAGAGAGATTTTCTCTGGTCCCAAATTAGAGCCTGTGTTAATGTATATATAATAGACCAAACCCGGATATAAGAGAAACCCGGATATAAGAGAGATTTTCTCTGGTCCCAAATTAGAGCCTGTGTTAATGTATATATAATAGACCAAACCGGATATAAGATATAAGAGAAACCCTCTGGTCCCAAATTAAGAGCCTGTGTTAATTATATATATAAAAACCCGGATATAAGAAAACCCGTGTATAATGAGATATAAAATAATTAGAGCCTGTGTTAATGATATATAGAGAAACCCGGATATAAGAGAGATTTTCTGGTCCCAAATTAGAGCCTGTGTTAATGTATATATAATAGACCAAACCCGGATATAATAAGAGAAACCCTGTGGATATAAGAGAACCCGGATTTCTCTGGTCCCAAATTAGAGCCTGTGTGTTAATGTATATATAATAGACCAAACCCGGATATAAGAGAAACCCTGATATAAGAGATTTTCTCTGGTCCCAAATTAGAGCCTGTGTTAATTAATATATAATAGACCAAACCCGGATATAAGAGAAACCCGGATATAAGAGATTTTCTCTGGTCCCAAATTAGAGCCTGTGTTAATGTATATATAATAGACCAAACCCGATATAAGAGAAACCCGGATATAAGAGAGATTTCTCTGGTCCCAAATTAGAGCCTGTGTTAATGTATATATAATAGACCAAACCCGGATATAAGAGAAACCCTGATATAAGAGAGATTTTCTGGTCCCAAATTAGAGCCTGTGTTAATGTATATATAATAGACCAAACCCGGATATAAGAGAAACCCATCTATAAGAGAGATTTTCTCTGGTCCCAAATTAAAGCCTGTGTTAATGTATATAAAACCGGATAGACCAAACCCGGATATAAGAGAAACCCGGATATAAGAGAGATTTTCTCTGGTCCCAAATTAGAGCCTGTGTTAATGTATATATAATAGACCAAACCCGGATATAAGAGAAACCCTGATATAAGAGAGATTTTCTCTGGTCCCAAATTAGAGCCTGTGTTAATGTATATATATAGACCAAACCCGGATATAAGAGAGAACCCGGATATAAGAGAGATTTTCTGGTCCCAAATTAGAGCCTGTGTTAATGTATATATAATAGACCAAACCCGGATATAAGAGAAACCCGGATATAAGAGAGATTTTCTCTGGTCCCAAATTAGAGCCTGTGTTAATGTATATATAATAGACCAAACCGGATATAAGAGAAACCCTGATATAAGAGAGATTTTCTCTGGTCCCAAATTAGAGCCTGTGTTAATGTATATATAATAGACCAAACCCGGATATAAGAGAAACCCTGATATAAGAGAGATTTTCTCT